CCCTTTCCCTTGTCTGTTGTGAGCCGCCCGGAGTCCTCCGGGAGTGGGCGGCATACAAGACAAATAAAATGAAAATGAAAATCTTAACTTTTCTTTCTACAGGATAATCAAGACACGGATTAGAAATGGAATTCCTTGTTTTGAAATTGCATGGCAAAAGCCAGGTTAGTACTCTGGTATTAGTGGGCATACCAGAAGGGTACTTTTCGGTACAATTTAACACTGGAGTAAGAAATCTCTTTAAAAGGTGGGCATGTTGAGAAATAGAAATAGAACATTTCTTAATGTATAGTACAGGTAGTTCTTGACTTACAAGAGTTTGCTTAGTAACCATTCAAAGTTACAACAGCAGTGGGAAAAAAAAGTGATTTATGGCCATTTTTCACACTTAAAACTGTTGCCGCATCCCCACGGTCAGGTAATTAAAATTTCGATGTTTGGCAACTGGTATATATTTATGTTTGCAGTCCCAGGGTCATGTGATGCTCTTCTGCAACCTTCTGACAAGCAAAATCAACGGGGAAGCTGGGTTCACTTAATCATCACATTGCTAATTTAAGAACTGCAATGATTCACTTAATGACTGTAGCGAGAAAGGTCGTAAAATGGGGCAAAACGCACTTCGATGTTTCACTTAGCAATATCCATTTGGGGCTCAACTGTGGTTATACATCAAGGGCTACTTGTACAGCCTATGCAGAAACGTATCTTCCCATTTCAGATTATTTTGCATGTGTCATGGATATTGTCTTAAATGGTTAAAAATCGTTTGTGACAAATTGACAGCGAAAGACAAATTTATCAGTTAGCATTCAGTATGGCATTGAAATAGAACCATTATGTTTGGGAGAGTTATCTCCTCACTATGTGCTCGGGGAGAAGATGAGGCATTTTTTCTTCACAACAGCTTTTGAAGATGGATTGGGTTAAGAGAGGCCCAAAGTCACCAATAAAGGATTTCAGTTTTTGTCCTCTCAACATCAGTCCAACCAGAGCCAATTTGGTCCGGTAAATTCAAGTCCTGCCTTAGCCATGAAAGCCAGCTGTGTGACTTTGGGCCAGCCATTCACTCTCGGCACAATTTACCTCACAGGGCTTTTATTGTGGGGAAAACAGGAGGAGGAAAATGTGATTTTTATAGGTTCGCCGCCTTGAGTTCTTTGTAAAAACAATAAAGGTGGGATACAAAATAAATAAATATATGAGAGCTGTTTAACAATGTGCAAGTATTCAATTAAATGAAACTATAATAGAAATAAAAACACAATGATGTCAAAATTGGATCTGGGAGTCTGTTCTCCATAAAATTACTGTCTTGAAATTAAATTAACATAGGCATTCTGGCTCTGCCCCTTTGTTGGTTCAGGTTTCTGTAGCCTAGTAACCCCAGGTTCACTTCTAACTATCTTTAGAGAGAACTGGGAATTTTTCCTTCTAAAATTCTTGAGGCCATCTGCCAGCTGTACCATGAATGACCGATCTGACTTTTTAATATTAAAATCTCAATATGCGGAATGGAAAAGGGCAGCTTTTAAAATGAGAGTTTCTTTTTCTCGCTCTCCCAGGCATATATTGTGTGCCCTTTACATTGTACAGTTACATTTTAACTGGTAAAATCAGTCTGTAGGTAGCAGTGATGTNGTGCGATCTGACGGGAGGTAATTGGCAGCAGGCGGTCTCTCAAGTACCCAGGTCCAATACCATGAAGGGCTTTATAAGTTACGACTAGCACTTTGAAGCGTATCCGGTTCATTAGTTCATTAGTGACTGTTACAGGGACACTGAAAAATGTGACTTCTGACCATTTTTCACACTTTCACACATGACCATTGCAGCATCCCCATGGTCATGTGATCAAAATATAGACACTTGGAAACTGACTCATATTTATGATGGTTGCAGTGTCCCGGGGTCGTGTGATCAACTTTTGAGAACGTCTGACAAACGAAATCAATGGGAAAGCCAATTCACTTAATAACCCTGTTACTAACTTAACAACTGCAGTGATTCACTTAACAACTGTAGCAAGAAAGGTAAAACAGTGATTCACTTAACAACCATCTCACTTAGCAACAGAAATGTTAGGCTCAATTGTGGTGGTAAGTCGAGGACTACCTGTATCCAATTTGTCTAACTGGTGAATCCCGATATTGACCTACTCCCACTGAAAGCTGAACAATTGGATTCATTTACTCATTTATGCTGAATTCACACTTCTACTGGATGCTACAGAAAGGATGACTCAATTTTCTCTGCTCTTTACAACCTCCAGAAACCCACAGGAATCACAACATTTGATTTCTAAGTATTCTGTCGAAAATATGGCTGCAGTTTCTGCTGAGAACAACTTGACCATTTCAAGTAGACTGCGTGGGAAGA